GTTGTAACAGACTCCCTCAACTTTTGTTTTTCTGGTAATGTCTTGAGTCTACCTTTGCTTTTGAAGGATAGCTTTGCTGGATATAGAAATCTTGGTCCATAGTTCTTTTCTTTTAGCACTTTAAATATTTCATTCCATTGCCTTCTGGCCTCCAAGGTTTCTGAGCAGAAATTGGCACTTAATCTTATTGGGGATTCCTTATATGTGAGTTTGCTTCTCTCTTGCTGCTTTCAGAATTCTCCCTTTATCTTTGGTTTTCAAAAATTTGATTATAATGTGTCTCATTGTGGATCTCTTAGGAGTTATTCTACTTGGAGTAGGTTGAGCTTCTTGGATTTGTAGATTCATATCCTTTGTCAAATCTGCAAAGTTTTCTACTATTTCTTCAAATTGTGTTTCTGTCCTCCCCGTCCTTCTCATGTGATTCCCATGAAACATATGTTGGTTTGCTTGGTGGAGTCCGACAGTTCCATGAGGCATTGTTTTTTCTTTATCCATTTCTCCTGTTGCTTTTCAGACTCAATAATTTCAGTTGCCTAAAATCTTCTAATTCACTAATCTTCTTCTGCCAGCTCAAATCTGCTGTTAATCCCTCCAATGAATTTTTCGTTTTAGTTATTGTATTTTCAGCTCCAATATTTCTGTTTGGTTCTTTTTTTTTATAGTTTCTATCTCTTTATTGAAATGCTCATTTTGTTCCTGCATCATTTTCCTGATTTCCTTTAGTTTATTGTTCATGTTTTTCTTTAGTTCTTTGAGCGTATTTAGTATTGTTGTTTTAATGTTCTCAAATCTGTCCATTATCTGGACTTCCATAGGGATGATTTCTGTCTGTCTGTATTATTCTTTCAACTGAGCTATTTTTCACTGTCTCTTTGTATGCCTTTTTTTTTTTAAACTGAGACGTTAAGAATATTATAATGTGGTAACTCTGGAACTCAGATTCTTCCCCTTCCCAGGGGTTGCAATTTTTAAAAAAAAAAATCATTTAAGGTAACAGTCCCTCTACTCAGCAACCTCTCCTAACTATTTTTGCAAAGATTGGCCATCATAGTATTTTGTGTGGACATCAAGGACATCTTTCTGGAGTCTGTGTCCAACTAGTGTTTTGACAGCGATTTCCTTGCACTTTAGGGAAAAAACAACAGAAAACAGAAAATATCCCATTCTCTTACCCCTCAGGAATTGCTGTTCTTACTTTATGAAGGCTGCAATTGACTGTTGAGTGAATTTCCAAGCTAATTTTTGCAGTGTTTGTCCCAACTCTTTTCCATGCAGTCAGTGGCCTGAAGATTTCACCAAAGGGTGTGCTGGCCCTTTGGATCTAATGGCAGGGAAAAAACTGCTTCTCCAAGAGGGCTGAAACCACTGCAGTGGTCTGCACCCATCTCTTGGGGCATGTCCAGACCAACCCAACTGTGCAAACTGTGCAACCCCAAATTCTTGGAGGACAAGGTCCCCACCGCACACCCTGGTAACAGCCAGCTGCTGTAGGAACATGGGCTGCTGTCCCTACCACTGTGGCAGTGCTGAGGAGTGGAGGTGGTAGTCGATTGGTGCACATGGTCCACCTGGCAAAGATTAGCATCTTGTCTCTTCATCAAGCACTCCCCTGGTTGATTTAAGTGTCTGTTCTGGTTTCAGATTTCCAAAATAGTTGGTTCCAATTGCTCTTTCCAGTGCAGTTGTTGTTTTGGTGCAGGAAGGGACCTCTAGAACTTCTTTATCTGCCATTTTGCATAACCAAATGGTACTTCTGAAAGTTCAAAATTCTGCAAGAAACTCACACCAGTCCTCTTTCAATGTCTATTGTATGCTTCAATCAACTAATTAATCCTAGATGATTCGGGGGTGGGGGGACTCAGCCTGTGAGCATTGCTTGCTGCTACCCCACCTTCCCCAGTCCTGCAGGAGCATGAATGGCTAAACTGGGAGGATTGCACCTCTTTAGTCCTTCAGGCTGACCCAAGACAGATATGAACAGTCACATACAACAGTCTGCCAGCAAAAGCTAAGACTGTTCTGCACATTCCTGAACCAGGGAGCAGGCTCATCTCTGGGAGCGCTGTTTTGCAGTTTGACACCAGCACTGCCATAGCCCCTGCTTCTGCAGAGGTGGGGAGGAAGAAGACATCTATGGTAGAAAGAAAAGTTTTCCTATTGTTTGAAAGTCAGCTTTTCCTTGAGTCAGTGTTTGCTTAGATGCTGTTTAACTCTTAGACTGGTTTCAAGTTTTAGGGCTTGGTTCCATCAATTTCTGCTTTTTTTCTGGTTTTGTAAGGGGGAGATAGAAGCATCCAGGTGCTTCAATTGCCATCTTGCCTCCCTGGAGAACTCTCCTAGATGGAGTGCTTTTAAGATCGGGGGCTCAGTGAGGGAAGTAGGAGTGCTGGATTTAGAGGAGAAAAAGAAGATTTCCAATTTGAACATGTTAAATTTGAGCTTTCTGGAAAGACATTTGAGAGGAAACTTCAAGCCAGGTAGCTGATTATGAGTCTGGAGCCTAAAGAGAAGTCTAGGCTGGGATAACCAGTCAAATTACTTTAAAGTCATTTGGAATAGTTTTTCACTGTGTGAATAGGACAAAATTGTCTACGTGACTACATAAATTACTTATTTTAGTTTTGATTTTTGGGAACTGCTATTTAATTTCATAATTTTATAAAATATTTACATGGCTCCAACGTCAAATCTAGAGAGCAAGAATTATTCAAAGAAACTTAACTTCTAACTCCTTCTAGCTGCTAAACAAAAGCTTGGAGGCTTGAGTTCACGCAGAGGTGCCTCAGAAGAAAGGCTTGCTGATCTACTTCCAAAAAAAATCAGCCATTGAAAACTCTATCGACTACAGTTCTACTCTGACACACATAGGGTAGCTATGAGTCAGAATCAACTCAGTAGTAGCTGGTAATGTGTGTAGCTCTATGAAATTTTCACACACGTATACGTTTATGTAATCATCACCACAATCAGGATACAGAATACAGAACTGTTCCATGACCAGAGAGATTCTCATGCAACTCCTTTATAATGACAATTCTTTCCCCAACCCTAACCATTGGCAGCTATGGTATATTCTTTATCACTATAATTTTGTCACTTCAAGGTGTAGCCTTTTGAGTTGGCTTTTTTTACTCAGCATAATGCCCTTCGAGATCTATCCAAGTGCAGCATGTGTCAAGAGTTTGTTGCATTTTTCCGTCAGTTTCCATTAAAAAAATCCTTCTGGGGATTTTGATTGGGATTTCATATAGTCTATAGATCAATGGAGAAGCACTGATATTTTTACAATACTGATGTTTTAATTCCTGACCATGTTGTTTTGTTAGGTGCTGTCGAGTTGATTCCAACTCATGGCAACCCTACATACAACAGAATGAAACACTGCCAGGTCCTGCACCATCCTTACGATCATTGTTATGCTTGAGCCCATTGTTGCAGCCACTGTGTCAGTCCATCTTGTTGAGGGTCTTCCACTTTTTTGCTGACCCTCTACTTTTTACCAAGCATGATGTCCTTCACCAGGGACTGGTCCCACCTGATAACACGTCCAAAGTAAGTCCGTTGAAGTCTTGCAATCCTTGCTTCTTAAGGAGCTTTCTGGCTATACTTCTTCCAAGACAGATTTGTTTGTTCTTCTGGCAGTCCATGCTATATTCAATATTCTTTGCCAACACCATCATTCAAATGCATCAATTCTTCAGTCTTCCTTATTCATTGTCCAGCTGTTCCATGCATATGAGGCGATTTAAAGTAGCATGGCTTGGGTCAGGCACACCTTAGTCTTCAAATTCCTGACCACAGTATATGTTAATTCTATATTTTATTAGGCCTTCATTAGTTCTTTCATTAAAAATGTTATCATTTTCTACACTTAGATATTATATTCATTTTTCATAATTTATTCTTATTGTTAAGAAGTGTGGTACAACTGGAGTTGAATATATAGAACCATTCTTTTTCCCTATGAAACATCAGGTTTACTAGTTTTAATTTAGATAAATTCTTAAAATGTGTCAATTTATTGTGCAGCAGGTCAAAGTCTACAGCACAAATTAGTTTCTTATTCAAAAATTTATACACAAATTGTTCTGTGACATTGGTTAAAATCTCCACAATGTGTCCATACACTCCCCCTTTCCACCCTTGCTTCCCTGTGCCAATTTGTCCAGTTTTCCTATCCCTTCCTGCCTTCTTGTCTTGCCTTTGGGCAGGAGTTGCCCATTTGGTCTCATATATTTGATTGAACTAAGCACCTTCCTCGTGTGTGTTATTGTTTGTTTTACAGACCTGTCTAATCTTTGGCTGAAAGGTGGACTTCAGGAGGAGTGGCTTCAGTTCTGAGTTAGCAGAGTGTCCGAGGGCCAGTCTTGTGGGTTCCTACAGTCTCTGTCAGACCATTAAGTCTGGTCTTTTTTTTATGAATTTGAATTTTGTTCTATATTTATCTCCTGCTTTTCCAGGACCCTCTATTGTGATCCCTGTCAGAGCAGTCAGTGGTGGTAACCAGCACCATATAGATCTTTTGGGCTCAGGGTGGTGGAGGCTGTGGTTCATGTGGTCCTTCTGTCCTTTGGGTAATATTTTCCTTGTGTCTTTGGTTTTCTTCATTCTCCTTTGCTCTGGATGGGATGGGAACCAATAGATGTACCTTAGATGGCCATTTGCAAGCTTTTAAGACCCCAGATGCTACCAAAGTAGGATATAGAACATTTTTCTTTATGAAGTATGTTATGCCAGTTAACCTAGATGTCTCCCGAGACCATGGTCCTCAGCGCTCAGCCCCACTAACTCGGTCCCTCAAGGTGTCTGTATGTGTCTAGGATACTTCTATGACTTTGCCTTGGCCAAGCTTTGCTGACTTCCCCTATACTGTGTGTTGTTTTTCCCTTCACCAGAGTTGACAATTGTCTACTACCTGGTGATTTCCCCTTCAAACATCCCTTCCTAAAAATATTTCACTTTAGATAAGAACTTTTTCTGACTTTTTTTCTTCTCAGTGGATATATTAACTTACGTGGCCTGGAAATTGAGTGGCTTTCCCAAAAACCGTGTTATTGGAAGTGGCTGTAATTTGGACACTGCCCGTTTCCGTTTCTTAATTGGACAAAGACTTGGTATCCACTCAGAAAGCTGTCACGGGTGGATCCTTGGAGAGCATGGAGACTCAAGTGGTAAGCCTAAAGCAGCATTGAGCCCTGCACGCTCTCTGAAATATATTTTTACTATATTGATAATATGGAGATTTAATCATAAGTAAAATAGCTCTAGGTGGGGAGAAAGGACTTCTATAAATTTTTAGCACATTTATTATTTTTATAATAAAATAATCGAACAAAAATAGTTTCAAATTTGAAAAAAGTGAGAATGTTAGTATAATCCTACCTGTGGATGGTTAAGATTATAAGGCTTTCTTATAATAAATCAATAAGTAACAGGACATGGTTTATATTTCACTTGGGACTCTATAGTTCAGGAAGGTTAGCATTGTAATTTAAGTAGCATGGATTCTTCAGATTAAGGGACAGGCATAACTGGAGAAAATTAAGGGGAAGAGAGGGGGTACTATGGTGATAGCAGTCCTTTTCTTAGTTATCTCTGGTTAAGTGCCTTTGAAATCCTTCTAATATAAACCCTGGCTATGGAAAAGGACTTGAAGTGATAAAAGTAAAACTTATCTATAGTTAAAAGTTGAAACTGCCACTTTCTTGTCTGGAAAATCTCTGCAAAGATGACAGAATTCTGGGCTCGTTTCCTTGATTTAGCAGAGCTAAGTTGGGGCTCAGACATCTGAATTTTGATGGTTCTGTTGAATACTCAGGAGCCCCAGTGGCACAGTGGTTAAGAGCTCAACTGCTAACTGAAGGGTCTTCAGTTAGAACCCACTAGTTGCTCTGCCAGGGAAAGATGCAGCAGTCTGCTTCTGTAACGATTACAGCCTTGGAAACTCCATAGGGCAGTTCTACTCTGTCCTATAGGGTCGCTATGAGTTGGAATAGACTCGACGGCACACAACAACGTTGAATACTCTTAAAAAATCACTCAAGGCTATAAGAACAGTTTTGCTAAGGTAAAACAAAACAAACAAAACCCCTAAACCTCTATTATACCATGTAACGAGTGTAATCTTTGGCATATTTTTTCTCAGTTCCCGTGTGGAGTGGTGTTAACGTTGCTGGCGTCTCTCTGAAGAACCTGAACTCAGATCTAGGAACTGATAAAGATCATGAGCAGTGGAACAATGTCCATAAGGAAGTGATCGCCAGGTAATATGTTAGTTTCACACTTTCAGGGCCTTGGATGTTAGTTTAGAGCCTGAATTCTGCCAGATGGAGGAGATCAGCCCCTCAAGTGTTGTTAAAAGTTCTTGTACTTTTCTTTCATTAGCACTTCAACTTTTATTTATTGTAAGATTATGTGATTGTTTATTTACCAGAGTATAAATTCTTAAATAGTTAGGGACTGGGTCTGTTTTGGTCACTGCTGAGCCTAACCCAGGGTTTAGCACATAGCAAGCACTCAATTGTCGACTGATGGAATACATCTTTACTTATAGTGGTGGGCCTGATTTCTTATTATTTTCTGGATCTGTTTATATAACCTCATAACTCTTATGTTTATCTTAAATGACCAATTCCTGTAAGAAGTTTCCAGGAAAAATTACTGATGTCAACATTTGAGTTTTGTGGCATTGTCAGATAAGTTACCACAAAATGGACATTCAATGGTAAGTATTTCTTCCAAACTAACTTCTTATGTTCATGATTTCTAACTCCACAGTGCCTACGAGATTATTAAAAGGAAAGGTTTTACTTCTTGGGCCATTGGCTTATCTGTAGCTGATTTAACGGAAAGCATTTTGAAGAATCTCAGGAGAGTGCATCCAGTTTCCACCATAATTAAGGTAGATGCTCATGTTTGAAAAGTCACTAACTTTTAACATAAAATAAGGGAAAAAACATTTGACCAACTCTTAATTTTTGAAGTTGATCTTCTGGAAGCACCTCTTTTTCTAAAGGCTATCCTTTGTTCCTGCTGAGAGAAAAAGAGTCCTATCTCTGTAGAACCTTTGTCCTGTCCTAGAGTAACATTTATTACATTCAATTAGATAAAAAAGTAAGTCTTCTTGCACCTTTGCGTTAACTGACTGAATTAACTCTACAAATATCTAGTGACACTGGGAACCACTGTGGGTAGTGATTTTTCCAGATTTTGAGTTCTCTAACACATCCAATTACGTCCCATGAGAAGACCTAGGGTAGAAGCAGTAGTCACAAAAGTATTCGCAGTTAGTCTCCTGGGGGAGATTGGGATGTGGGTAAGATCCCTCTGCTAGTCTGAATAGGAGAGGTTAAAACAAGATGGAACTAAATCACTGGGAATAAAGTAATAGAAGTTATGATGTAGTCCCAACAGAAAGTGGTTTTGGGGTAAGGAGATAGGATAATGATGGTGGTCCCCAGCAAACATGGCAAGAGGCTAGGGCCTATCTGGAGAGATGGCTGATGAATCTGAACAATAAATATGTCTAATAATCTGCTTTAAATTGTTCTCTGCCTTAGTGCTCTATTTCTCTGCCATTATCCATACCCACATACCTGTTAAACACTTATTAATTCAGCAACTTCTGTGTCTCACATTGCAGACTTTTGTTAGAAAAAAGAAAAAATAAATTTTAAGTCTTTACTTTCAGGACCTCTATGGAATAAAGGAAGAAGTATTTCTCAGTGTTCCTTGTATCCTGGGAGAGAATGGCATTACAGACATTATAAATGTCAATCTGACCCCTGAAGAGGAGGCCTGTTTAAAGAAGAGTGCACAAACACTTTGGGAAATTCAGAAGGAGCTCAATCTTTAAAGCTGATTAATGCTACTTACTTTATGGTTTTTCAAGAAAAAAATAGTAGTAATGGGATTGCATATGGTAATCTTTTGAATAAATCTGAATTCCTAAAAGTTAGAAACAGGATACGGTAGAATGATGTCCGTTTATTTAGCCCTCAAGCTCTCTCAGCTGCTAGATGATACTATTTTTTTTTACAATTCTTAAGTGACTGCATCAAAGGAGGTGTCTTTGGTACCTCTGATGTACCAGTACTTGCCTTGAATATATATAGCTGCCTAAGTGGTCCAAAAGAATGTATGATGTATGTGTTTACTGTGTTATAGAAACTGATTCTTTTCATCAAGTACATGCTAATTCTTTCGTTCTGGCTGGCTTCTATCTATTTTCATTTATATACTATAAAAACAATCGTACATGCCTCTACAATGTAAAAATGGAAGTTATGTACACACAAAAATAACTCTAAACATTAATTCTAATTCTAATAATAAATGAATAAACTTTGATTTGACCTTGCTACTTTTTAGTCTGATAATTTTTGTGAATGGATTTTACTTTTTAAAGAAAGGATCTAAACTGTATAAACCCCCCTCAGTGATGACTGGGACTAACTAAAAGTTGTTTTTTTCTTGGGAAAGGTATACAGTGGGCTATCTGGCTCCCTAATATCTTAAAAGAAAACACTCCCTCAAATCAGAATGTTCTTCCTTTGTAACCTCATGAACTTTCTAGTGCTCTTATTTTGACTGAGAATGTTCTGTTCTAATGCATGAGGTCTGTGGGACATATAGCAGCTGTGGAGCTCACTGGGTGGTCACAAACTTGGCTACAGAATCACTCCCCATAAAGACTGATTTCAAATGACAATAAAAGCAGGGAGGCAATGTACACTATACCTTCTGCTTTGTTCCAAATCTTCTCACAGCTACCCCTTTAATTGTGGCCAGACCATCATGCCTAGTTAACATTAAGCCCCAGGTATATAGCTCTGCTTCTAGGATTCCCTCCTTTTTATTTGATGAAAATAGTTATGGTTTAATCAGGCCTAGAAAAGAAATCTAGGCAGGGACTGATAGGAGGGTACCACCCAGGACCTTTAACAGAAAAAAGTCACCCAAATCCCTCAATTTCAAAATTTCTATGTAGTCTCAAAAAAAAACCAACCACTACCAAACCCATTGCTGTCGAGTTGATTCCGACTCATAGTAATCCTACAGGACAGAGTAGAACTGCCCCATAGGGTTTCCAAGGCTGTAAATCTTTACAGAAACAGACTGCCACTTCTTTTGCGGAGCAGCTGATGAGTTCAAACTGCCAACCTTTCAGTTAGCAGCCGAGTGCTTAACCACTGTGCCACCAGGGCTCCTTGCCTGTGTGGTATATCCTATACTAAACAGAATTCACTTTATATGCCATAGAGTAAATAATAATAAATTTCAACTTAAGATGGATAACATGATTTTGTTTGCTGAATTAAAAGCTGTGCTTCTTAGTCAAGTTTCATGGATTTTTCCTAAAGGAATCCAATAAAGAAGAGGAAATTTATGCAACAAATTTTATTTAGCAGAGTCAGTCCCAACATTCAGCACAAAAAGAGTTTACAGAGAATAGAAAGTGCATTAATAAAAGCCAGTCTTTACCAAAAGAAAACAGAAAATATATTATTGATTCAAAATATTTTACACTTGAATGATATACTGCAATAACTTATTCTGGGCACCTACTGATAAGAGAAAGGAAGAGAAGAAAAGAATGCTTTAAGAAGAGCTCCATCTCCAGCTGCTCTCAGAGAAGTCAGTAGAGGTCACTGAGACCGGCAGTCTTTCTTGCTTTCTGCATTAGTGCCCTCAGCTGGAACTGTTTACGGGACAGAAGACGTACATGCTAGGAGGGGGGAAAAATTCAACAGTTTAGAAAGGCTTTGATCCAGGCCCAGGCATTCAGTATCAGACAAGTTTTAACTTAGATGGCTTAAACACCCTAAATGTACTAGTTATATCAACCTTCCTTTGGAACGAATACCACATTAAATGTGGCTTCTTTAATTCTACCAGATTGATGCTGGCTGACTGAGTTAAGGCAGGTAATCTTCTGAGACCTGATAAATGCTTACTCACAGGGAAAACGCCACATTACATGATTTGGCTCAGTGATTTTAAGCTACATCTTGAGACAACATGCCAAGGAAACTTCTACTGTGATTCTAACAACAAGTTACAAAACCTTGATAATCACGACTGTTTATCTCATTTGGCTAAAAGAAGGGGAAGGGGAGTGATAAGCAGCAAAGGGACAGCTTTTGTCCCTAGTCTGGTGCTCAGCAAATGGCAAAGGCTCAATTCTTTTCCTCTCTTGAATCTCGTGTGTATCCTTCCCTAGCTGTGCCACCCAAAGAGGGGACAGTGTACTGAAAGGGAGTTTTCCCTAAGGGTCTGGTTTATACCCAGCTGTCTGTGTGCTTGCACCAGGTCCCAGGTATGTGGTTTGACCACTCACCCATAGAGAGATTGGCAAGATCACCAAGTGACCTGACCAATGAGGCACCAGCAGAAGGTTATTATTCTTAAAACTAGATTCTTCATGACCCACCAGACAGCAGTAGCCATACTTGGCTTACCGGATCTTCATGTCTGTACAACAGTATTAAGCCTGAGACAAGCTTCACTCATCAGGGCTCTAGTATCTGCAGGGCTGTTTCATTTGGGAAAACTGGTCTAAAATTATGAAATTCTAAGAAAATATACAGAAAAATAATGGAGGTGGGACAGTGGGTGATCTCAATTTAAGTGGTCTGACCTGAAAGAACCAATGAAATCTGACTGTGCCTCTTGACCCCCTCAGGCACAGTAGTAAGACAGAAGAATTCCATTCATCTTGATGGTGCCTGGTGGAGTTGGGGCCAGCAGCCACTAGCCCACTTTCCTTCCCCTACTCAAACCAATTCTAGCACTCTGCAGATGGAAAGACACTGCTCACAGCTATATATCTCACTAGCTCTCTTTTGGGAAGGCAAGGAATCTCAACTCACACTACAGAGAAACCCTCCTGGCCTGTGGTTTTCACAGTCAGTGCCTCTGAAAGCACAAGTTCCAAAATCCTGGAAAGCAGAGTGAGGAAGACATACCTTCAGGAAGACATCCAGGTCTATTACTCCTCGCCGTAAGGCTTCTCCCAGGTAAAAGATAGTGTCTTCAATAGCATTTTCCTCTGCGTACAAATTTAGGATCTGTTTGTATAGTGGGGCTGTGGGAATGATAACTTCATCAATATCATTGTTTTCGGATTGATTTTCCATTTTCTCCAGGGCAGAACTGAGTTCTTCATCCTTCTTTTTCAAAAGTTCGATGTTTTTATCAACCTCAGCCTAAAACCAGAATAATAGTCTAAAGGTGATGATTTTATATTAATTGTACATAATTATCAGTTTGTCAGCCATTTACAGCTCAATTTTACAGAAACAGACTTGCTAATAAAACTATGTTTACACAACTCATAGATGAGATTAATGTTTCCATTAACACACTGATCAAAGGGAGAGGAAAAGGTGAGATCTAATATACTGAGTGAAAACAGGGTAATGTTGAAACACCCTGAGCTGAGCAGTGACACACGTGCTTGCAAACTAAGCCATCAGACAAGATACTTTCCAGTAAGAGGTTCCCTACATGGAAAATGATAAAAGAGGTCTTTCCTCCAAACAAGTGTGGGCATCTGCTGGAGACAAATAACTTTCTCTGGTCTAGAAAGAGGATTCAATGCACAGAGCCCCAAAATGCTTGCACTCTAGTCACAAGACATAGCAGGTGGTGGCTGTGGCTCTGAATTGTATTGGTGTCACTTGCCTGAACTTCTGGAAATAGCTAATGCAAAGCTCATTTACACATTAGTGCCATTTTGTAAGGACAAATCACTTTGTCCCAAGCTCTCAAAATTTCAGTATCTCTTTACCTTTTCATCAAAAAGGCACATTTATTGGAATAAATTTTCCCTCATGAGGATGAAAAGTAGGGAAGCTGGCTCTTGAATTTTTTTTTTTTTTGTAAACTGTGGTTAAAAAAAGTATAAAAACATTTACCATTTCAATATTTTTTTACATGTACAATTCAGTGCCATTAATTGTGTTCATCACGTTGTGCAACCATCAATGCTAGTGCCTCTTAATCACTGTTAAGCAACAAAATCACAGGGCCCAGCAGTTTGACAGAATAAATATGAGAAGGCTTAAAGAGCTAAAGTTTGCATACACTATGTTTACATGTAGCTCTTAAGTCACTCAAATATCTCTAGGTTATTAGAAGGATTTACTGAAGATGCTTTTTAATATAGTTCAAACAACATTTGGAAACAATAAAATAGAACTGTCCCTTTAGTCTACAAAAAGGTCTGCAGACCTTTATCATGGCTCACAGCTCTCTAGTTCTTATTTCTTGTAACTGTCTGGCAACATCAAGCATTCAAATAGTCCTCCTTTGGGCCAAAACATTATCCCTTAGGGTGAAGGTGCAATAAAAATGCTCTAAATATCATCCAGCCCCCTATCAAAGACCAAATTTCAAACATCAGCTCCATTTTTAACAAGCAATAGGAAAACTATACACAAATGCTTAAAGACACCTATAATTTTCAGAAATCTTATACTCACAACATCCAGGGTAACCAAAGTACCTATAGAACACTTTGCCATGGCTACAATTCAATCTGAAAATTGCAACTCTTCAACCACAAGCTACTTACTACTTCTTGATCTAAACGGGTAACCATCTCTTCCAGTTTCTGGTGACCTTTTTTTAGGTCTTCCTCTGTTCGCTTCAAGGCATTGAGCTCTGCCTGGGCACGGTCCATTTCCTCCTTCATCCGCCATCTAAGTTTGTCACTGACTGCAGAGATGAGAGAGGCTCGGATGGTGTCCTCACTGATCGTGCCATCCCTACTGGGACCTGAACGGAAAAAGGCGAAAACCATTTGCTTGTTTCCCAAGCTCTTTCTGTGCCTCTGGAACCTTCAGAAAGCAGGACAAAATATGAGCTGACACTTCCGAAATGGTAGGAAGGAAGAAAATTTATGTTAAATGTTATAACTGCATCAGAAACAACATAAAAATCTGAGTTAATTCAGAAATATTTGCCTTGAACGAGATTACTATTAATCTTTATTTCTCTACTGTTAATCCATTCTCCCTACTTATAGCCTAATGAAGTATTGGGTTATTTTCTCAATGAGGCAGAAGGCTATGTTCCTAGATATTACAATTATTTCTAAGTAAAAGCAAGACTTTTACTCCTTTATTCCTTACCAAAAAAACTAGGGAAAATTGAAAGAACAAAAGAAAATGACATCCAAAAAATTCAACAGCTAATAAAACTTCTGTTTCCTCCCAGATTCTTTACTATTCTCTTTCAAGACTGTCTTCCGAAACAGTATCTTATCTAACTTCTTTGCACATTTCAGATCAAATGAACTTATCTCCCAGATATCTGCTTCAAAAAGATCACCCTTTAACATAACTACGGATATTTTTTATGACCATCAGTGTTCTTCAGTTATGGTCCTAAATCAGGGAATGTATAAATGGTATGTTGAGTTTTAATTATGTTTGATGTAATACCATGTGGGGAAATATGAAGTATATTTAACCTTAATTACCTACAATAAATAAAGAAGTTATTACAGACCAACAGACAGTATCACTCACTTTCACTCTGAGCTGAAAATTCTTATCACCTTAACACTGAGTTCCACTTATTAGGAGAAAAATAGTCCTATCTGTTTGCAAAAATGTACTGAAACTCTCACCACTCATGTTACCATCCATTACAGGCTTCTTCCTGGTAACCAGTTATACTGTCTCCAAAAGAAAATGTAGCTGTCCAAAACACAATGCCACCAGCTCCACATGTGCTCCTCAGTGTCCGTTTGAGTACAACTCTTGCGACTCCATAACCTGGCCTGGTCACTCTATTTTTCGGTTTATGGATTAGTAAAGTTGTCTTCTTGTACAAGCTGGTTGATACCCAGGTTACTTTGTGCTTTTCAGGGCCTTTTGTAAATTAAATTAGGAGACTTTGGAGTTCTCAGGTGCCACTGGTTTCAAGAGTCTAGAGTTCTGCTTCTTTTAGTTCTTTCTCTTGTTTCCACCATTTAAGAACTACATTTTCTCTGACTTGGGCTTTCTTCTCTTGCA